GTAACAAGAGTCCAGTGTGATATTATTTCACTTCCACCTGTTACTTGTGCTTTCTCGCTCTCTGTTTTCCATTTTAAAATATTATGACTTTCATTAAAATTGCCAAATAAAATAACATGAGAAAATACACACAACATATTATTAACAGTGGGTTATAAAACAGAAAATGCAGTGAGCTCTCGAGTTTTTACTATATGTAGTAAATACATAAAAATATGTCAAAATGTCAATGTTACTTATAATTTCAGTTATATCCAAAATCAAAAGTAATTTTTATTTCCTCCTTTTGGCTTTTCTGAATGTCCCAGATTTTCTACAATGAATATATATTATTTCTATAAGCAAGGAAAAATGAATTCCAAAAATAAAGAAAAATTGCTGTTTAGTAAGGTACAATTAAGTCTTAGAGACATTATCTTTTGTATATCTAAAAGTTACCATCTTCGTCAAAACCTAATGATTCAACTCTAAATCACCTGTGGGATTACAGAGTCTCTTGGAGGAAAACAAAAAGGATTTAAATTGGCTACCAGAGTCACTGGCTAGTCCTCTGAAAATGCTTAGCGCCCAGAGGTTAGAGAGTACTTGGGTGGCAGATTGATATACTACTGATTTAAACTTATGACATAGATCTATATTGGGGATGAAAACTTTATTGGTCTGTTCACCTCTCCACTACTAGCAGTCATCTGGAACTATGTGATATTTGCCTACAGGTTCAGCAGCATGACTATAGCTCAAAGAGAAAATAGCTAAGATTCAAACAAATCTACGGAGGAACAACCACACTGACCTTGGTACATAGGCAGAAAAAGATAGTGACACACTAGAGAATGGGAATACTGAGCAGAGATACCTGTGTTTCTGTCTAAAATGGCTTTCTTGTTTTGAAGACTGCAAGTCCAATAAGGACATGTTATCTATCGTATGTGGAAAGTTTGAAGATTCTACACTGCTACGGAAATGAGGTAGATTAGAGCAGTGTTGGGAAGACTTATTTTCAGAAAGGAGAGGGAATGTGGGAACTAGAAATTCTGAATGCTTTATTTGTAAAGTTTTGAATCAAGCAGTGAAAAAAATCATAGAAAATAAGAATTATTAGGTTGAAAGTATTTCCTTGGATACTTACGAACATCACTTTAAATTAGTTGTTTCTCCTTGCCATGGAAAATGAAATAAGAGCAGCCTACGAATTTATATTAAACTAACATATATATTATGCAATTGCACTGTGCCAAGATCTTTCAGATATGTATGTTAATTCTTATAACAACCCTACATAGTAGATATTATTGTCCCATTTTACATTATGCTCATATTAAATATCATGCTCAAGGTTTGTACAGCTAATAACCCACAGAGCCATGACTGAACTTGAAGTCCTTTGACTCCAAGACAACTGCTATTTCCATTAAAATATAGTACTTCTCCATAAAGATACCTTATTAGCAATAAAAATGAAGGGATAAGAGGACAGGATCACAGTAGATATCTGTGGCACACAGCTCTAAAAGTGATTAGAACATAGAGGATAGAATGGTCTAATCAATCAGAGAAATGGGCTATTGCCCAAATACAGGCTCCTAATAAATAAGAGCTTAAAACTTCAGCTGTGTTCCCAGCCACAAAGAATTTTACTTGGTGCCACACAGCAATGTTAGTGAAACACAGAATAAGTCTTAAGACTGTGTTTAAAAAAGGAGAAGATAACTGAATTCTAACTCACCCAATATTGCTTCTTATTAATACCAACTTTTTAGGGATCCTTGGGGGTCATTTATTTAAACAAGCATTGGGGATATGCTGTCAGATCTCTCATATTGTGAAACACAAAGGTGTTTTAAGAAGAGTAGGAAAAAATCTGGATGAAGCAGGTTATAGAATGAATATTTAGAGTTGAAAATTTCCTCCTGAAGAAACCTTCCGTGGTGAGTGTGCTATATCCTGTTTGAAAAGATTCCTTAAGTAAAATCAGGGAGTCTGGGTGAGCACTTAGGCTTTACAAACAAACTGCTACTCTCTCCCATTGGTAAGCATGGGGGGAAGAAGGGCAAATGCTTCATGAACATCCATAGTCCTCAAGTGGAGTTTGCTTTCTTTCCATATAATGCCCAGGGATGTGGACCAATCTATGACCAAGCCTTTGGGAAGAGATGAATAAAACCTGGAGAACAAAGAAACTGAAATTTTACATTTTTATGACAGAAAGGTAAAAACAGAGGTAACAGAAGCCATCGTTGTCTCTCTGTGCTCCCTCCTGCCCACCAGGCATCTCCTCTGTCTTTCTTTTCTTGTGTAGTACTGTTGGATGCTTTATAATGCATCCTATCTGCACTGCTAAGTTCAATCACATTCTAAATGGTGGGTTCTAGAATCCTTGTACAATAATTGAGGCTGTGTCAGTATGTCTGCTGCTGATGAATATATGTGTGAGATTGAGTGGTTGAAATAAGAATACCAAATGGCATTAAATTAGTCTATGTAATGTAAAACAACATAAAACCCTTCTCCAATTTTCTGTCCACTGACTATATTCTACGTAGCCAATGTTCTAGATGTCCTTTCCACTATTACCTTGCAAGGCAAATATTTAAATATCATTTATGATATTTACAATAAAATACAGGTTAAGAATTATTTTTAAAATATGGAGAAGATAACATTATTACTTCCCAAGTCCCATGTTCCAAAGAAAACCACAGTTAACCTTTGGTGTAGTTCCTTCAGGCACCTGTATACAAAATTGCAATCATTTATATTATTAAGAAACATTTTTGTGTCTAATAATATAACATGAGCATTGTTTCTTGTCTTTAACTCTTCTCTATGACTAAAATTTGCACTGGTGATATTACATGTGACATTGTATCTTCTCACTTTTATAGCATGAACATCACATACCAGAATGTCGGCACCCTAGAAGACAAAATTATAGCAACTCTTAAAGCATGATTGAATTTGAAATATGATAGTACATGTAATGTCATTTATTTCTATTTTTTATTCTATTGTTGGATCTTTCAAGGAAAATGTTAAATAATAATGCATTTTAAAATGACTTTCAGGAAAATACTTTCAGCATCCCACCATTTGGAGTTATGTTGACCACTAATTTTAGAAAAATTATATTTATCTTTTTAATGATTTATCCTCCCATGTCTAGATTACTAAGATTTCTATAAAGAAGAAACATGGATTCTATCAAATGCTTTTAGATTACAATGTATTTTATTTTTGGTACCTATTTGTTTCATGTATTGATAGATTTCCAAGCAATAACTTGGAATTCCATGTACTAATTAAAATAAATGACAACATTTTAGTATACATTTTCAATGCATTTGAATTCTTTGCATATGTATTCATAAATTGGATTGGTCATAGATTTATCCTCTCTTTGATAATTTTGGGTGAAAAGGCTATTTTAGTTTGATAAAATAATTTACAAAATGTTCTATAACATCTTTCCCATGGGAACACACTATATAACATATCAATTATTTGTTTCTTCCAAGCATAGAAATACTGTCAATAGTATTCTGGATCCAGTGTCCATTGTTAAAGACTGGTATTCACAATGGATCCCTACTATGCTTCACAGCATATATGGCAGAGTATGTGTTGAATAAATGAATAAATGAAGAATGCTATGAGATCAGAAAGCACACAGTAGGGGCATCCTACTCACACCTGGAGGTACAAATGTTTTCTTAGAAAGGATGATATGTAAGTTGGGAGAAGCTCTTCAGCTTAAGACAATAGCATGTACAAATGGATGAAAAAGGAAGAGTAGCACTGAGGGGTGGCTAAAAGAAACTCAGCATGGTCACTACAGAGAAGTGAGACTATCAGTAGTGGTTTCAGAATTTCTACATTAGAGGGACCTAAGGGTGACAATGTTGTTGAAGGATAGGCTAGAGGACTTTTCTTGAAGTTGTGCTGCATAGCAAGAATATTCTATTTCCTCAGAATGTATTTCTTTTTTTTTTTTCATTTTTACCTTTTAAGTGTTTTCTTTTTTTAGTTCAGGATATCATGGGAGTACATTTTCATTGAGCATTTGCCCTGCTCAAGCCAGAACTAGAAGCATGTCCTTCCCCCTTACAGTGTGCCCTGTTTCCATTACCTGTGGGTTTACTCCCCCACCCCATCTACCCTAACTCTCCCACCCCTGACCAGACGGGCAGCCAGTGAGTATTACTACCACATGAACACCTTAGTGTTGATCAATTAGTACCAGTTTGATGGTGCATACATCAATTATGGGCCCAAATGTCAATTCCCTTGCCCTAAAATTTAAGAAAAAAAAAAAACCAAATCAATTTTTTTCTGAGATAGTCAAGTAGACTTTAAAATTATAATGTGTAATATTTATGAATACATAAAATATACTTAATATCATTACATTTGATATTGTATACCCCTATATATAATTTTACATGACATATTGGAACCACCTACTATGCCTGCCACCTAATAAATGTTATCTAATTTAGTTCTCAAAATAAACTACCAAAGAGTTATAGCTTTTGCCCAGTTTTCTAGCTGATGCTAGTATCTTAGCTAGCTGAGACTCCAAAAAGTGAAGTAGCTTAAAATACTCATACTAAAGATAAGTGGCATGGTGCCGAAACTATTTGATACTTTAAATTAGATCCAGTTTTATTAGAGTGAAGTTTTATTTTGAAATGTTCATTCATAGAGACATTCTTATGAAACTACAATTGAAAGTAGTTTATCCCTAGATTTTATGTAATTGGAGGCCTGACACTTCCCAGCACAACTCCCAGCCATTGCTGTCTTGTAATACTAAGAAGTATTGACCTTTCATTACATTTTTCATCATTAGTAAAATTAATACAATATCCCTGATGTTGCTGATTTCAGGGGCTGTTCTAAGAATAAAACAAAATCACAAAAAGTTACTTAATAAATTCACATCAAAAATTCAAATCTCACTGACTATGTCCTTTTATAAACCCTGCAGGTGACATGAACACATGGAGACTGGAAATTACTCTGAAGTGACAGAATTCTTTCTGGTGGGGCTTTCCCAATACCCAGAACTCCAGCTTCTTCTGTCTGTCCTCTGTCTCATCATGTACCTGATAATCCTCCTGGGAAATAGCCTCCTCATTATCATCATCAGCCTGGATTCTCGTCTTCACACCCCCATGTACTTCTTCCTTGGAAACCTCTCATTCTTGGATATCTGTTATACATCATCAACCGTTCCTCAAATGCTTGTTATGTTTATGTCTGGGAGAAAATCCATCTCCTTCATTGGCTGTGCTCTGCAAATGGTTATCTCTCTTGGCTTGGGCTGTACTGAGTGTGTCCTCCTGGCTGTGATGGCCTATGACCGGTATGTGGCCATCTGCAACCCACTGAGGTATCCCATCATCATGAACAGGGTGTTATATGTGCAAATGGCTGCATGGTCTTGGATCATAGGCTATCTGATCTCCTTAGTGCAAACAGTCTTGACAATGATATTGCCTTTCTGTGGCAATAATGTCATTGATCATCTGACCTGTGAGATCCTGGCTCTTCTTAAACTCATATGCTCAGATATTTCCATGAATGTGCTTATCATGGCAGTGGGAAGTATTGTTATATTGGTGATTCCTCTGTTGTTAATTTTTGTCTCCTATGTGTTCATCCTCTCTTCCATCCTGAGAATTAATTCTGCTGAAGGGAGGAAAAAAGCCTTTTCTACCTGTTCAGCCCACCTGACTGTGGTCATCTTATTCTATGGTTCAGCTCTTTTTATGTACACAAAGCCTAAGACAAAGTACACAAAAGTATCCGACGAAATCATTGCACTGTCTTACGGAGTAGTAACCCCAATGTTGAATCCCATCATCTACAGCCTAAGGAATAAGGAGGTAAAAGAAGCTATGAAGAAAGTCCTGAGCAGACAGTGGCATCTATGGAAAATATGAAAGGCCTTGAAGCATGTTATATGCTCAACATGGGATCAGATCAGGTGTTTTGTATCACAGATAAAAATCACAGAACCCAGTGTCAAGACAGTGTGCCTGCTAGTAATGCCAAATACAGGACTTCCATTCCTTTCAACATAGATTTCTCATGTAAACCTTCTAAGTAGTGTCTTATCTGCAGAGTTTCTAGCTCTGCTAATTGATCCCATATAAGGCATATGGCTTTTCATCAAAATAAATCTCCTCTCTCCTCTTTCTTCTCTTCTGTCTGCTATCTCCTTTCTCTTTTCTCTCTCTCTTTCTTCCATGTTTTTCTCTTCCTCTTCTCTCTTCCATTTCCTCCCCTGTCTTGTCAATTGCCCTCCTCCCTTCACCTACTTCCTTTCTCTTCCTTCCTTCTGACTTCTCATTCTCGATTATCAGTCATTTGAAGCTAACATTTATTGTTTTGTTGTCCAGCATCCCCCTCTTCTGGTAAAATAATACATCTTTTTCTTTCAACAGTTCAACAGCCCAGCCCTCTGAGTCCATGTGGTGCTGGGTAGGGCTAACCCAACTTTTGGGAAATAGTGGTGAGCACTAAACAAAGGCCTAGCCAATCAAAAAAGCAAACCCCTTTAGCCACAGTGATTCATTCAGTGTAGCAAGTCAGCTAAGTCAAGGTAATCAAACTCAATCTCACAATGCTGTCCCAGTTGAGGAAAGAGGCATCCTTTCTGCTAGGGTTGCTAAACTGATAGGATATAAGCCTGGAGCCAATATTTGCCAGTAAGCAGAGAAAGCCTAACCAAGAGGCAAAAGAGGAGTTTTGAGGAAAAGGGAGTGGATGTCTGATGCTGTCGTTTTAACTCTGATTCAGCTGTGTCTAAAGTCAGTTTCACAATTATTCTTTTTAATTATATGAGTCAATGAATTACCTTTTTATAAAAAACTAATTTCGAGTTGGATTTTCATCACAATCATAGTCCTAACTAAAGTATTCCTTTGCTGCCCCACTCATATTTTTGAGACAAAATCTTATGAGGATATATTATCTAAGTGGTCCCAGGGTCTCCAGACTTCAAGGTTCTTCTTTCCTTTAATAACTAAATTATAAGAATCAAATTTCTATTCTGCATGCCTGCATGCATTTATGTTCCCAATAATTTCTGAGGAGTGTTTACATTTTTCTAGACTCTGGTTTTCATTTCGGCTCCAGACTATTGTTCTAAACTTCTCCACCACTCCCTTCTGATAATTTTGTGTGCTTCTGTATTATCGAAACTCTCAACAGTACATTTTTCCTACAGAGAACAAACATAAGTCTTCTAAACATACACATTCAAAAGTCCACAACGTTTAACACCTTTACTTAGGCTTGAAAACAAGACAAAGGAACTATGATGCAGCAAGAAAAAGAAATCAACATTCAATTACTGCTGTTTGGGGTATTTACTAGCCATTCCCCTAAGTATGGGCCCTTTTAAATCCATTTTCCTCTTGAACCTCTATCCTGCTGCCAGGGTGATGATGTCTGTTGTCAACGGTCTTCTTCCATAAGAATCAGGATTATTTCAATGGCCAGCAAACATTTGGAAAATGCTCAACATCACTAATCATGAGGAAAATGCAAATTAAAATTACAGTGAGATACTGTCTTACCCCTATTATAATGGCATTATTAAAAAGTCAAAAAAGGATAGATGCTGGCGTGGATGCCGAGAGAAAGGAACACTTATACGCTGTTGGTGGGACTGCAGACTAGCACAACTTCTATGGAAAACAGTATGGAGATTCCTCAAAGAAATAAATGTAGACCTACCATTCAATCCAGCAATCTCACTGCTGGGTATGTACCCAAAGGAAATGAAGTTATCTTATCAAAAAGACACCTGCACTCAAATGTTTATAGCAACACTGTTCACAATTGCAAGGGTGTGACATCAACCTTAGTATCCTTCACTTCATGAGTGGATAAAAAAGTATGAGATACACACACACACACACACACACACACACACATACATACTGTGGAGTACTACTCAGCCATAAAAAGGAATAAAATAATGTCATTTGCAGCAATGTGGAGGGAACTGGATACCAGTATCCTAAATAAAGTATCTCAGGAATGGAAAACCAAATATGTTATCACTAACATATGTTATCACTAATAAGTGGAATCTAACAGATGGGAACACAGGCACAAAGCAATATAAAAGACATGAGAAACCAAAGAGTGGGGAGAATGAAAGGGTGTGTGTGGAATAAAAATAAAAATTTACCTACTTGGTACAATGAAAACTATTCTGGCGATGGGCACACCAAAAGCCCTGACTTCGGCATTGTACAATATATCCATGTAATAAAAATACTATACCCCCTTAAAAAAACTATAATGTCTAAGATAAAAGAGTTAATGAAAAGCAAAGTAATTCAGCATATGTGAAAATGTAAAAGACTATGAATAAATGAAATAAGATAATATCTATGTGGATTGAAAATGAAATAGAATTAAAATTCAGGATAATGACATGTAAATATGGAAGTGATTAATAGAGTAAATATGTTTTAAACACAATGTAAATGTGTTTAAGGTGCTTATTTAATAAAGTGTATATTATTAAATTTAAAAAAATACATTACAGCCTTTAGAAATAAAATAACAATAGCTTTAACAAGGTATAAGAGGTTGTATAAACTTATCATGCTTGAAGTTAATGTGAAAAATGTGGAGAAAAATATAACAAGGGAACATTTGAAATTTGGACAGTGACGTTTAACCAAAATGACATGTGCATCTCTGAATGTAAATGCACAGCTGATTAATGCCTTGCCGGCTGCTGGCCATCCTGAGGTTTCATCACTTCACCATGCAGTGATGTGGTATTTCTTTGCCTTTGTAGTTTTTCTACTTGTAAATGCCAATAATGATTATTTGTAATTTCAGACACAAAGATGCTCAAAATCAATCAATAAATAACTATATCACATTAATGAGGCTTGACTCACTGGCACTGTACTAAGCCATTAGTACATTTTATGGGAGATTTTTTTTCTACTCTTAGAATTACAGAAAAGGAATTCATAAAATAATAGTGCACCAGCAATGACTCAGAAATACTAAAGTCCAATCCATAAGCACCTTGAGTGATATATTCTGTTTGTGAAAATATATCAAGAAGTACACTTAGAATTTGTTCATTTTCAATAAAAAGCCAAATGAAACAAGAAAGAACACAATCCATTGCCTGCGTTTCATTATGAATATTAGAATTATCACTACAACCCTTATAAAACTAGGATCCATGTGGCTTGTTCTTTTTTTTTTTATTTTTATCTTTTGCGACTTTGAGACAGAGTCTCACTGTGTTGCCCCGGCTATAGTATCATGGCGTCAGCCTAGCTCACAGCAACCTCAAACTCCTGGCTCAGGCGATCCTCCTGCCTCAGCCTCTCAAGTAGCTGGGACTACAGGCATGTGCCACCAGGCCCGGCTAATTTTTTCTATTTTTTAGTAGAGACAGGGTCTCTCTCTTGCTCAGGCTGGTCTCGAACTCCTGAGCTCAAACGATCCACCCGCCTCGGCCTCCCAGAGTGCTAGATTACAGGCGTGAGCCACTGTGCCCAGCTGATTTGGTTTGTTCTTAACAAAGAAAGAGTCCTGAAATCAAAAGTAAGTTTAACATCTATATTTGAATTTCTTAAAAACTCCAATACCACAGCAATGCTTAACTGAAAATTTCATTGCATTACAGCTCACAGCTGCTCTGGAGCACGTCCTTCCACTGTTTCCTAATGTCCAGTCTTCCTACTGTTTCCACACTCTCCTTTTTCCCATCTTATCCTTCCTTGATTATAACAGCCTTTTTCAAAGAAAAAAATAGAATCTGTGCTACTAGAGAAAGGAATTTGGAGAAAGATGGGTTTTGGAGGAATTGAGGAATCAGGCACCAAGTTAGGGAGAAAAGTTGTTACTTCTCCCAAGTTAAGAATTTTTGTTCTATTACATTATTTGTCAATAGCTTTTGTTTTCATCACATTTCACAAATGTCACCTTTTTATCATTTTATCAGAAGCTCCATAAAGAATTTGTTTCTTCCTCTTCTGTACATTTTATAATGTGGCTTTATTAAACTTCCTGTTATATTGTATTTTATTTATTTAATGTGGCATGGTTTAAAAAAATAAGGGCTCAGAAATCAGGGGAAAATGGGTATAGACTCTAACTCTATTGTTTACTAGGATTATGAACTTTAACCTATCAGTTTCCATTTCCTCTGACATAAACTGTGGAGTTTAGTCTCTAGCTCAGGGGATTTTTATGAGGACTGAATATAAAAAATGCAAAATGCCTTATTCAATACTTGTCTAATGGCATGCAAAAAAAATATACACATTCCCTTCACCTTTCTCCATATATGTCTGTCTCTTCTAATAGACTGTGAGTTACCTGAGGGTAAGATATGAAAGTAATATTTATTTAAGCTTCCTTGGTACACAGAATAGGCATTTATTATAGATGTGTGTTGAATGAATGAATGATGTGTGATTGTTTTTCTTATGCTGAAGGTAAACAGCTTATTTGCCATTGCCTGAATAATCCTTGCAATTGCTCCCTCTGCATCTTTGCTGAAGCCATTCCCTCCATCTAAAATTGCCCTCCCTATAACCTATCTACAAAAATTTGAGGTGCTTCTCAAAAAAGTGTCCTTCGACTTAACATACAACAGCCTTCCTTATCATCCTGGCAACACTCTGCCTCTTCTTCCTGTAAGTTAAATTCCGATAGCAGCCAGGCGTGGTGGCTCATGCCTATAATCCTAGCACTGTGGGAGGCCAAGGCAGGAAGATCACTTTAGGTCAGGAGTTTAACAACAGCCTAAGCAAGAGCGAAACTCCATTTCTACTAAAAATAAAAAAAATTAGCCGGGCATGTGGTGCCCGACCTACCCAGCTACTAAGGAGGCTGAGGCAGGAGGATCGCTGGAGCCCAGGAGTTTGGGGTTACTGTGAGCTCTGCTGACACCAGG